GTCGATGACAGACATGCTTATTAGAGGGGGGGGGGGGCGCGCCTGGCAGTGGGTATAAACACCCACCCACCCCCCAAATGGGGCCTCAGAGCCCACACAGGGAGACCTACATCATAAAAGATAGGAACAAAACACACAAAGTTGACAAACATTATACAATACATCGGCGACTAGGTCGCCTATTGGTTTGCTGGTCAGGACAGTATTTGGGTGTTTCCGTTGATCGCATCAACACTGCAGGAAAACCTTTTCAGAGCTTTTGGTGGCGTGGACAGCTAAGCTATTTTACATGGCGCACAAAACCTAGTAACAATTACAACCTAAAGCTCTCCCACTTTTAGTCAGGATGACATGGCAAGAACATTCGTTGCAACAGAAATTATATGTTTATGTATTATGCTAAGTGTAACAAAGAAAGATTGATTTACGATCGAAAATATCAGGAGTCAGCACAGAATCAATACTGAACTTTAAAGGAAGACAACAGATCAAATGGTTAGGCCTCATAACAAGGATGTTAACAGACAGGGCAGGACAGAGAGCAGTGTTATACAGATACAGTGGTAAACAGACCCAGAGGCTGACCATGCAAAATATGGACTGCTGTAATATCGGAGACACTGACAAGTACTATATGAAGAAGTGAATACAAGGGCCTTGCAGATTCACAAAGAAGTTTAAGCCAAAAAACTAAAACACCAGCAGGGCCTTCAGTCAGCAGACCAATAAATCAAGTCTGTAAAAAAACAATAATTAAAAACACATTTTACCTTCCATGTTGGTGGAGGATGTCCTGTATCAAAGTCATAATCAATATTGACATCAGTAACCCAGGAATCATAGCTGTAAACAAAAAAGAAACAAGACCAGTTAGTAAACAGTAAGTATTCAATTACAAACATAAAAACAGCAACAACAAAAAAGCAATATTTGTATATTCTTGAATGGATTTTCAGATGTATCTGTTTTTAGCAGAGCTGTGATTTAACAACATTATCAGTCTATCACATTTTTCTTCTTCCTAGGTAGCGTTACTATTAGAAAAAAAAAATGCAGCTTTAAGTGTGATGACACCATTTGCGTTCTTTGATCCACAAAAGTACTGCATTCACCAAAACTGCACACCATGCAGACTTCCATCAAAAGGGAGAAGACAGCTAAATAAGTGTATTTCCTGCCACATAAACAAGCTTCCGAAAACCCTTCTGCGCCAGAAAGCCTCAGGGAAAAGATCACGAACTTGAACACCCCCCTCCCTAAATGCCTTAAAGAAAATTTTTTTTAATGCTGGCAACAAATCAAAAATATCGTTGCGGAGCAAAAATACTTTTTAAAAAAAAGGGGGCGCTTGAATAATGACACACCTAGCTGTTTTAAAGACTCTTGTCCACGTCTTCAGGTGTACTGGGCACTTAAAGGGAAGGTTTCCGAGGGAAGAGCCAAAGCAAAGATACAGTGGAGTACACAGAAGCAGAAAATGGGAATAACATTTAAGAGGAGGAAAGCAAAAATGGGAATAACAATTAAGAGGAGGAAAGCAGAAATGGGAATAACAATTAAGAGGAGGAAAGCACAAATGGGAATAACAATTAAGAGGAGGAAAGCAGAAATGGGAATAACAAGAGGAAAGCAAAAATGGGAATAACAATTAAGAGGAAAAAAATCACAAATGGGAATAACAATTAAGAGGATGAAAGTAAAAATAGGAATGCTTCTTGAGTAGTAGCAATCAAATACACCACTGCTGGCTTGCTAGGCCTGTCCCGTGGCGGGGCAGGAAAAAATCTGACCTGGTTGATGCCCGACATTGGGCTACATCTTGGTATCAGTGAGACGACAAAAAAGGAAGAAAAATGACTGAAGGGAAATTTTAAACTTGATTACATACCAAGGCTAGACAGTGAATGAATCTACATCTAATAAAATGAGACAGCTTTCCGGAGTCCTCGAATATTTTTCATAAAATGTGCAAGATTCAAATATATCGGACATGCCACTATTATCTTCACAGTTAAACAGTGTAAATGCAGCTTTATGGTCACTAATCTAACATCTTTAAGATAGTTTAATTTCTCCTCTGTATTTCATGCCACATGTTTCGATTTTTTTTTTTTAAATCAGGTTTTCTGCTCTTCAACCTGTCAGCCAACCGATATGCTGCCCCAGGAAGGATCATAAGAACGCATAAGCTTCTTTAAAAACTACACACCCAGCACATGTTATGTTCAATAAGTAATGACAAAAGGATGAAAGCAAGGACCTTTAGTAACGGCTGCTTACCTGTCTGGGTAGTGCCACCAGTGGATGCCATAGCTCCTATCACGTTTAAATGTGGGTCTGAAGAAATCTTCAGCTGAAAATAGAAAACATTAATAGGAACTTCCGAGAACAAATAAAGTACAAGATACAATAGATTTGAAAGACATGTAGTATACACCAGCTTCACAGGAACAATCACAACAGACAAAGGATGCTGCTGTGATTAGCCAACATCAGTAGAACAAAGACAGGAAACAAGACAGCAGATAAAAGGCCAGCAATGGAGACTGTTTAACAGAAATTAAAAGAAGGATGGCCATAGCAATGCAAAGATCGAACAGCCTTAAAAGTCTATGGTTAAGCACCAGCAAGGAGATCAAAATTAGAATTTTGAGAGCATGCATCTTCCAAGTGGCTATATATGGATTGAGTCCTCGACTATCTCCCAGTCCTTAAGAAAGAGAATAAGGGCTTTTAAGCTGAAATGCAATAGAAAGATTCTCAGAATATCTTGGACAAAGAGGAGAAATACTGACATCTTGAAAGATCTGAACATCAAGGAAGATTGGCTAATAACAATAACATTCTTTCTCAGAAGCTGAAATATTTTGGTCATATCAAGCGCCACGACGGATTGGAAAAATTATAGCAGAAGGCACGGTACCAGGAAGAAGGGGCAGGGGCCGACCGACACGAAGATGGGCAAAGGATATAAGTGAGCTATTAAGTGTGAAAGTATATGAGGCGGGGAAACTGGCGAGAGACCAACTGAGTTTCTTTAAGGCAGACCGTGATCAGAGCAAAGTTCTACAAAGGACCTGCTACATGATGATGGTATATCAGGCATAGGATACCAGACAGCACTGGACTGGTGGGGAGGTCAACATGATGATATTCCACCTTTACCTAGTACCCATTTTAGGCTGCAGTGACCTGGGAGCCAGGGTCAATTAAAAAAAATATTAGACTCAATACAGATTTGAACCCGAAATATTTGGGCAGGCAGGTGAGCATCTAACCACCACACCACCATGGCTCTCCATGATAATGATAACATAAATGGTACATGTATTCACTGTTAAGTAACAAAAAAATAACCAACCATCCTGGGGTGGTGAAGTCTGACTACTGTTACATATAATGTGTGTGGCTGCTTCCTCGTCATCCACCAAGACTCCCTGATGACGTTTGATGATGTCTTTCAACTTTGGCACCAGCAGCTTGTCCACATCAGGTCGGATGTAGATCTGTGGCAGAGCAAGGCATTTGGAATGCACCAATGCTTTTTCCACTTGCAAGAACATTTCCACATTTCTGTCCATCCTTGATGGGGACTGGAAATCAAATCTTCGCCTACAAATGAACAAGCATGACTTAAAATATAATTTACATAATAAAGCATCTGCAACATATGCATAAGTTGAAATTAAATAGTTACAAATATGAAATACAAGTATAACATCTTTCAACAGTGACACTTGTTCATGACCCTGTTCTGCCGTTTAGTGTCATGCATTGAGGAGTCATCTGATGCAAGTTATCCTTGCATACTTCTTCTTCGCATTCCCCGGCTGTATCTCCGGCGGAATGTTCTGGTTGTTCGTCCACCTCTGGACACTGGTCTTCTACCAGAATCTGAGTGTTACCGTACAGATCTATTTTACAGACCTGACTTACTTGTCTGCAGATTGCTGGTTCCTTGCCACTTACACTCTGACTTTGAAGTTAAAACTGTTTATAACTAAATGTACTTAGGGTGGTTAGGAGCGACTGGATGAATGGTTTAGAACACAGGACTCACACAGAAAACCGGGGTTTGAATCCTCGAAAAGGTTGGGAAATGTTTTTCTGCCGGGGAAAAAATAAATAAAATACTAACCAGGTGACCCTAAATCCTTAGGCTCCCCCGCCCCCCCAACTGCAAAAGTGATAAATACAGGCAGTAATGGATATTTTAGTGGTGACATGATATAGATATATTATGAGTGACAACTTACCATCCCAGCTCACTCTTAAACTTGAACACTGCCTGGAAAATCTGACACAACCCTGCCCCTGGTTTGAAGTCCAGGAAACATTTCATCTGCAGATCAGACAACAGAACTGGATAACTAAGATAATCAGTGAAATTCATAATTTCTTTAAACCACTACTAATTACTGGCGTGTACCAGTACCATAATAACCTGCAATGGTTGGAGCATATAGACATATTGACATAACAGACAGAAACGGTACACAAAAGAGATGAATAAGAGTACAACACAAAAAAGATCAGTAAGATGGTGGAGAGATAGTAAACATGCAGAATTACAAACACACAGAGTCATCAACTGAAAAGAGAAAGCCAAATACAGTGAAGAAAGGCGGTAGATGATATCTGCAGCATTGAATCTCAAGAGCCCGGAATGCTGAAAAAGAACACCCAAGAACTAAAAGTATGCAGCTGCAGCTTCCATGTACATAGGGAAGATACACAGACTAGAATAACTAGCGTTAGGCTTACATAGCTGCAACTTTATTTAGCTGGGTGACTACAGAGGTATCCAAATGTGAGGCTGGAGAGAATGAGGTACCTGGGTGTAACCAGAGGGTCTGGCCGGATAACAACACTCAGAGGAAAGGCAAGACGGACATATAACCAGATTGTGACCAGTACCATCATTATTGGAACTCTGCGCTGACTGCTAAAGATGAGGACGGAGCATGCATGGGAATGGCCCGAGTGCTGTGATGTCAATTCTTGACTAACTCAAATGAAATGTGAAATGTAGAGTAGCTTCCATAATATTCTTTGCAATAAATGTGAGAAAGCTGCAGGTGCTGCCAGATGTTCTCCTCTTATGCATTTACCCTTCAAAAGGGCGGTTCGCACACTGTGTTGTGGTTAACAGTCAGACTGTGATATCTGCACCTTTCAGGCCAGAACATCTGATTTTAGCAAACTTTATTTAGTGCCACTTTACGACATGCGTTTTAAGGGACAATGGTTCTATCCACCTTTACCAATCATCACAAAATTCCCCCCCCCCTCCTCAAACTAACACATGGATCTCACAGCCCTAAACTACCATCCAGTGGAACATTAAGCCAAATCCATTTGAAATGTAGCGGTACAGGCGTTTGACAGACATCATTTGCCTATGTTCTGTGAGTGAGCTCATAAGCGTTAGAAGCTTCACCACAGGCTGGCCACTAGATTCTTTGGGTTCTTACTCCATGCCAGCTTAGTAAAAGTATACAGTGGCTATTAATCAATGCTGTATCACATGGTTGTATGACAGTGTATCACATAGATGTAAGACAGCAGTGGGGGCCACAATTATTTATTTTCCTCCTCTCTGCAATTACGTCTTTCTTCTGACACAAAACGTGGCAACAAACCGTTAGGCTATGACTTGTGATTACAAACTGACTTTGAAAAAAACAACATAATAAAATAATGATACAGAAAATTCAAACTTACAGGAAGTTTTGTAAGTGCCGGATTGGTAACATGTCGCCCAAAAGCCTCTTCTTGGAACTGCAGTAACTGTACAAGCAAACTTGCCAGACTTTTATTGGTTGGGGGATCAGCCTGCACATACTAGATACAAAGGGATTAAAAAGAGCCATTAATTTAAAAATAAAGGACAATATGTTTATACACTTATTTTTTTTTTTCAAGTGCGTATTCACATCAAGGCAGCCAGCCACTTGGTATAGTCGCTTGATGTTCGTCTCCAGCCTAAAGATCTTGGGTTCAAATCGGCATCAAATCGGTTTTGTTGTTGTTTTTAAACTGATCTTGGTTGCCAGATCATCCCAACTTACAATGGGGACCAGGTAAATCCTGTGAAGAAAAGGAAACAGGCATGATGTTGACGACATCAATCACCAAGTGCCGAGGGTCTATAGAATACAGGTCTAGCACTATGCACCCAATACGCCCAAGGGCGGGGAAAAGAGTGCACTTATTCATATCAGAATTGTTCAAGTGTGGGTTCCGGGGCCCCACTGTGGGGGAAACAAGGACTGACCACTGCCTACCAAAAAAAAAAAGCTTGTCGCAAGAGCCGACTAACTGTTAGGTCAGTTTCCTTCAAAGTTGGAGTGCATCTGCCCAGGCAGCAAGGAATAACCAACTGCACAAAAATAAACTAGTGAAAAGGATGTACATGCAAAACTCAAGGGCCTGACACAAAGCTACAGTCCAATAGATGAACAACCAGGACTTACAAAGTCCAAATGGACAAACAACCAGGACTTTTGGCTGGAGATTACAGCTGGTGAACAAAAAGAAGATATCAGATTGCACCCAACATACATATAATACTAATGTTGTAAAGAAAAGAAAAGAAAACAAAAACAAATTTCATCATGGCATGGATATAACATGTCATAAAAATCAAATGTAAAAAGAAAAAAAAAATTCTTAACAATTAATTTAAGCAATCAAAAGTGTATTTGGCAAGCACCGCTCATTAATTACCCATACATACATAGTCTCTTGATATAGACTAACAAACATGGTTGATGAGGTTAACAGAAATGTATTTATAACATATATGTAAATCAGATATTTATTTATGTGTCTGACTTCTGTATGCATTTATAAAAGAATATTTACTAACTAAACACAGATTCCATTCCACTGAAGGTGAGGGGTTGAATGCTACCAGTATTCAGACCGTTTTTGACTAACCACTTTTTTTAGGCCAGAAAAATAAATGCTCTTTGTGAGATACTAGATACAACTGTCAGTTTTTGTCTGCAATGTAGTACAAGAGTATGAGACAACAAGTGCTGCACAGAAGTCAGTACCTACATGTTGGCCCAGCCTTGAGTGGGAAGAACCAGGTTCAGTACTGTGATCTCTGAAGTGGAGGCAGCCGATGTGACACTGACCACATCACTCACCAAGTTCTGACTGGTCTATCAGTATTAATTATGTCTCTAAAATATAGGGGCTCTCCTCCGAACTTCTACCCCGGCATTATGGCGGCCGAACAAATATCCTTACGGGGCTCAGTCCTATTAAAAATATGCGAACTTCCGGCGAGGAATGAATCCCGTCAAAACTAGGATTACCTGACAATCAAAGAGACGCAACACTGCAGACGATAGTAGCGACCATTGACAATTTTGAGACACGCAACATTACTGACGATAAAAGCGACATGGCGGGGAGACCACGTGCGCCGACGAAGATTAGTGTCATTGTTGTCCTCAAACTTTTTGGCATGTGCAAAACGCGGTTACACTCACCGCCGACATTATACCCCTCGCCCCTGCGCGGATGGGGGGCTAGACTAGGTGCCTGGGACTCACGAGCAAATTAACTGGATGAAGTTGCAGGAGATGCGGTAGCTGCTGCTCGTGAGTCCTAGCCATCTAGTTGATCCCCCATTCGCGCCGGGCGCAGCGGGGCAGGGAATACGTTTGGCGGTGAGACATAGTCACAGAAACAGGTCCGCAATTAACATATCACTGAGACCCTGTTTGTTTCATTATACGGAGCCGATCCTAGTTTTGCCGCGATTCGTTCATCACCGCAAGTTCGCATATTTTTAATAGGACTGAGCCCCGTAAGGATATTTGTTTGGCCGCCATAATGCGGGGCTAGAAGTTCGGAGGAGAGCCAATATAGGTCTATATTATATGCCCCAGTACACCTGAAGGCATGGAAAAGGGGCCTTTTACTTTTCATACTTAAGCACCTCACAGTAGAATTACTATGCAGTATAAGTATGTAGTGAAATATTAAATGTCTTCATTAAGTGCCAGTTGTTAAAACACCATGACGGATCATGGATAAAAAGTTCACAAGACATAAGGAGATATTCTGACGCTTATCTAATCTATAAGCAATGAAGGCTCTCATTCGAACTTCTACCCCATATTATGGCGGCCAAATAAATACCCTAACAGGGCCTTAGTCGTGTGTAAAATGCAGTAGTTCCTTCCGAGGAACAAATCGCGGAAAAACTAGGATCAGCTCTGAATAACGGGCCAATATCATTGAGGGCAAACAAATGCTTTAACAGAGTCTCAGCGATATGTTAATACCTGTTGCTGCGACTATGCCACACTGCCGACAGTATCCCCCGCGCCGCACTTAGCAGCGCGGATTGGGAGCTAAACTAAAAGTGACAAGCACAATGACAAAGTCTGCAATCAGACAATACATCAAGATCTTGATACCTGTGCCTTACAAACCCGAGTGATCTGTCACAATTACGCACTTAGCAGCGCGGATTGGGAGCTAAACTAAAAGTGACAAGCACAATGACAAAGTCTGCAATCAGACAATACGTCAAGATCTTAATACCTATGCCTTACAAACCCGAGTGATCTGTCACAATTACGATGGTTTGGACACGTATGCAGAATGAGACATGCAACCATGGCTTGGCAGGCATGGAAGGCTAAGAACCAAGGAACCAGATTTCCAGGGCGACTCAGGGGTGCGCTGGAAGACAGCATCTAACAGTTCCTTAAGAAAGGATTGGAATGAAACAGAGCCTGAAAAAGAAAAAGCGGCACTCCTTCGATCCATTCCCCAAAATGGCGGCATGCCACATTCTGGTCATAAAATATCCAAAATTATCTGAATGACAGTGTTCCCGTATATCTAAAATATGGACTGTCTGCCAAGGGACAAATCGCGGCAAAACTAGGATTACTTGACAATCACTATCAACATTACACACGGTACTAGTAGCAGACGTTACAGACCGTTAACAAATTTTGAGCGTTTTGCGAATGATAAGCAGACGATATTAGACCAATTTCGAGACATTACAGACGATGAAAAACGATTAGTAATAGCTGTGTTCTGATTTGAGGATTTAGCACGATAGATGTCGACTTTCGGCATGGCGCCAAACGCGAAACTCATCGCCGAGCGTACTAGGTGCCTGGGACTCACGAAGTAATTGGAGGAAGTTGCAGGAGATGCGGTAGCTGCCACTCGTGAGTCCCAGCTATCTAGTTTAGCCCCCATCTGCGCCGCTACGCGCGGGGGATGCGCTCGGCGGTGAGGCACACTTGCAGAAGCAGGTCGGCAAGCAACGTATCGCTGAGACCCTGTCAGAGCATTTGTTTTGTTATTCGGAGCCGGCACATATATTTTTAATAGAACTGACCCCTCATTAGGATATTTTTCGATATTTTATGGCCAGAAATTGGCCAATTTAACTCCTTTTTGAACGCCATCATATTAAAGTCGCCATTTTGGGGAACGATTCAAAGAAGCGCCGAAAAAGCTGATATAGCTGTTAGAGACGTCAGGCGATTTCTCTGGCAAACCTCTACATCCAAGATAAAAGAGTAGCGACTCCATACTGTTTAAGCCTGGCGTGTTACCACAATGATTAACATCTGCACCTGACAAAATTTTCTAAGAGAGGCAAGGCACCTACGGATTCATCAAGCCCTACTGCTACTACCGGCTCACATTCACATGTTAATTCAGTTCATAATCAATCCATGAACAACCAAAAGCCCGGTCGATGTTTGTTGTTTGTTTGCTTAGCCAGACAACAACATTAAAAACAACTAACACCTAAGTTTCGCTTTACGTTGTTTCATACTAACCTTTTTACAATTCTTTAGAAGCCAGCTGCGAACAGGGTCGAATTGGGCGATAGTTTCCTGAGTTTCGAAATATTTAACATTCGGACCACCGTCTTTCTTCTTCTGTAGCGCCATTTTGATTTTTGGAGCGTGGGCATTAACGCACAGAATGGCAATCGCAAGTTTTTTATTAAAAAATATTTACAACAGTGCTTGAAGTTAAATTCAGTTACTTGAAAAATGTTCTTAAAATTTTAATTATTATAAATTTTACTTAGACATTTTTTAGCAATCAATTATTGTCTTTACTATCATTTTGCTCGTATATAATTTAATTAGGTACATGAATTTTTATTTCCCCTAGAAATTCTCTGTAGACAACTGTTGCATTCTATTTAGATCTTTAAATTGTATGTGACGACACATTATTGTCTGGGTTACAGTATGGAGATGCGTCACACGAACTTAAAACAGTGTATGTGTCGGCTCTTATAAGAGGTTAGTACCACTTACGTTTAGCAAATTAGAGTTAGCAATATCGAAGCTGAAAATGGGAAAGTAGCCTGGAATTGGTGGAATAACCAACGAAAGGATCAAGAACCTAGGGACAATAGCCAAAACAAAACTGCTGCAGATTTTTAATAATTGTTGGGGCAGTGGCAAAGTTCTACAGATATGGAGACAAGCAATCATGATACCTAACCTAAAACCAGAAAAAACCGTACTAATGCCTCCAGTTATAGACCGATCAGCCTTACCAGCTGTCTCTGTAAAACTATGGAACACATTGTAAACCTTAGGGGGTACCAAAGTCCCACGTCCTTTTTATGGGGCCGCCATAAATATGGCCAATTGTCTGAACGCGGTTTCTGGGACCTCTCCACAGTGATCCTCATCCACATGATGGCACTTTGTGTCATCGGGTGTTTATCGCTTGTGTGATGTCATAGTGGGGTAGACAGTCAGTCAGTCAACCTTAGACTTTAATGGTACATGAAAAGTGAAAATATCTTCACTTCGCAGCAGGCAGGCTTTGGACAGTGCTACTCTACAGAAGACCAGACAACTTACCTCTCTCAAGATATTGAAGATGCCTTCCAAACTAGTGCTTGTAGCATGGATAGATTTGTATAGAGCTTTTGGCAAGGTCTGGAAATAAGGTCTGATGAAGGAACTGGGAAACTTCAGAAGTGGATGGAAATATTTACAGATGGATGAAATCATTCTTGAATAACAGAAGAGCCCGAGTATAGATAAACAGACTCAAGAGCAAGAAAGTCTTGCTGCGCCATGGTGTTCCCCAAGGTGGGGTTTTGTCCCCAACATTTTTTCTGGTCTATATCAACGACCTAATTGCTGAACTACCCCATGGTATTAAAGCTGCGATGTATGTTGACGACTTGGTACTCTGGTGCACAAATAAATGTTCAACAGTGGCCACTTGACTGCTACAAAGATCCATAGATACAATGGATGCATGGGCTGATAAATGGTGTATCCCCTCAATATAGACAAGTGTAGCACCACTCTCTTTACCCTCTCCCCCAAATAAAAATCAGGCGTCATTCAGATAAATAGAATACCGCTAAGAGGGGATAAGGAGCCCACATATCTCGGAGTCACGTTTGATGATAGGCTGACATGGAGAAAACACATCAACAAGGCAGCAACCAAATCCAGAAGGAAGATAACTATCCTAAGAAAACTAAGCGAAACAACACTAGGCGCAAATGGGAAAATACTTAAAAAATGTTTATCAACAAAATGTAAGACCACACCTTGAACACGGGTCCACTGCATTGAGTTTAGCATAAAAAAAAACCACACTACGAAAAAATTAGACAATGTGCAAAATCAAGCGCTCAGGTGGGATGAAATCAACACATATAGCTGTGATGGAAAAGAGACTCAAACACTGACAGAACGAAAAGACACCAAGATACTAATACAAGCAGAAAAGTTTCTTAGCATGCCTGAACACCATATGAAAGAAAAATTCCAAAATCTAGCAATGGGGCGACTAAAAAGAAGCAATTTCATCCACCAGGCCTAACGACTCTGCAGGCAAACCAATGATCTGCCGGCAAATAATAGCCCCTTAAATGCTATTCCAGATCAGACCCCTTGAAAAGAGGATTACATGTTGCCAATAAACATCCAGACAGAAGTGAAAGGAGTATTCGACAAAGAATAACAAAACAGTGTATAGCGTAAAACAGCTACTCTAGCTCTACTTTATGACGAATGCCCACAGAATCTTTTGGTTCGTGTCTATACGGATGGGTTAGCACAAAATGCAAGCAGAAATGGAGGAGCAGGAGTGTATTTTGAGCATCCAAATAATACCAGATATACAGCCAAAATACCTACAAGAAAGCACTGTCACAACTATGATGCAGAAGTTCAAGCCGTCAAAATAGCAGCAGAGAAACTGTAAAATATACGTCATATTTCACAGCCCGTAGTATTTCTATCAGATGAAAGAGCGGAGCTTCAGGCACTACAATCTGGAAAACTACCTGGTATACGAACACTACTCTCCAAACTAGTCAGCCAGTGTAAGGTAGCTACGCAATGGAAACCATCCCACTGCGGAGTTCCTAGAAATGAAAGAGCTGATAAACTAGCTAAAGAAGGTGCAAAAGAACAACCTGACGCGCCAGTCTCTTATCAACAAAAGAAGAGAATAATCAAATCAATCAGAAAGCCACCAAAACCGACACAAGACAATTACCATATAATGGAAGGACCAGAGCAAGACATTATTCTACGCCTTAGAACAGGACACAATCGACTTTGCAGCCACATGTATACACAATTTTAAAATTGGCGAATCAGCTATGTGCACATGTGGATTGGCACCTGAGACAACAGATCATGTTCTCCAAGACTGTCCCAAATACAACATATCAAGGCGAAAGAAAAGGTTAGCTTTATCTACAACTTCAAGTATGAGGATAGAGGTGGAGGTAGTCACAACAGGTCTGAAGTTGGTAGCAGAAAATGGAGTAACAAGAGGAACTGACTGACTGACTGACTTTCTACCCCACCAGGACATCACACAAGCGATAAACACCCGATGACACAAAGTGCCACCATGTGGATGAGGATCACCGTGGAGAGGTCCCAGAAACCGCGTTCAGACTATTTGCCATATTTATGGCCTGCCTATATTGCGGCCCCTGGAAAAAGCCAGAGTGGGGCTTCAAATAAAAAAAAATTACGTCCTGAAAAGGACATTAAATATTGAACAAGAGGAACTATAGTAACCGATTTTAAGTCGGTACTGTGTAAGGTTCACAATGGACAAATGTGGCGTGAGTGGATGCCAAGCATCGGCATGTCAACAACAGGGACTCACTGTGATATACTGTCCGGGACAAGTATTGGCGCGAGGAAATAAAAGAGCCGATTTTCTGGCTACAAAAGCGACAGCTATAAGAAAACCAGTGCTGGACAAAGGAGACATTCTGAAAACCATTTATGGAGGAATCCTGCTGGAAGACACGAGATTTAATGGAATAACATGTGTAAGAATGTGTGAACGATAAATTAAAAGTGGATTGGGTAAAGATGGGCGGAGGATAGAAAGAGAACGAAGAGTTTACACACAGTGTACTACGAGAACAGTTGGCATCTAGGCCTACTCCTTAAGACATCTGCTGTGGGAGACGGACCATGGGTATGCCCGTTGTGCCATGATGTCGATTCTTACATCATCAGCAAATCGGTTTAACTCCTATTTTCTAGTTTGTTGAATTGCTGTGTCGCGCATTTATGTTTGTCTAAAAAAAAGTGTGTCACCGTCATAGACAAGTTTTAAAAGCTCTGATCTGATTGATTCCTATCGCATCTTTTTATGACAAGAGAATTCTTGAGCTTATAGAATTACAAGGTTTTCAATCGTGAGGTTCTTTCTGGACAAGGAGAGATTGAAATCTTTGGCACTGAAATGTGTCAAACCAAATGGAGTAGCTTCTTCTTCTTGTTTGCGTTCACAAGCTGTAAACTCTGGCAGAAAGTTATGGTTGTTCGTCCACTTCTGGACTGCAGTCCTGTTCCAGAATCTGAGTTTTGCGTGTGCATCCATTTGACAGATCTGACACATTTGTGTGCAGACTGTTGGTTCCTTGCCTTTCTGGCAGATGCACTCCGACTTCGAAGAAAGCTCACAATTAGTCGACTATTACGACATGCTTTTGGGCAGGCAGTGGGTTTATTCTTGTTTTCCCTATAATAGGACCCCAGAACCCACACGGAAATGGAAATGCATTACCTTCTTCCTAACAGTGCATGTCATTTGGCAATGTTAACGTTCTCCTGAACTCTAAATCTTATCTGACGCAGAGGTTATCAATGCCATGATGTTTTAAACTGGGCATCATTCTTAGGCTTGGCTTTCCTGTGCCTCTTTTCATGGAAAGGGGTGTGAGGTGGGGGTGGTGGTGGGGCGGGTTGGGGAGGGGGGACAAGAAGTACCGCTAGTAGTAGAAGAAGTGGCTGCAGTAGAAAAAGAAAAAAAGGGGAAGAGGAAGACAACGACGAAAAATCACAATAACAACAACAAGACAGAAAAAAATATATATCTATAACTCATTTTCTCACCGTGATGGTATTTATTAGGTAGTCAGTGAGTAAGTAAATGTAATTGAATTTACCTCACCTACGAATGTAAAAAGACACATGTTGCTAAATGCATATTTTAATAGGTGCCTTCCTCGAGTAGTTCCAGTGCCCTATTTTAGGGGCAAAATAATAAAACCACTGCTCCCCCCTCATAAACCTCACCCCAACAAGGCTACCATAAAAAAGCGACTAGTTAGAGGTTTTTCCTTCCATGTCCTGGTACATCTGTCTGAGAGACACGAAACCAGTCTTTCCCTGCTTCATGGTTTTCGAACAATATTACGAGAGTCCCCAGGTCGACCCAGCCTTGGGTGGGTATTAGGTACAGTCCTGGGAAGTAAAGACGGATGGCGTGATGCCCACCACATCATCCACCAAGTACCAACTGGTCTATAAATATAGGCTAGACATATTTGACAAATAACCCTAAAGAGAATGGGTTCTCACCATGTAATATTTCCACAGACAGTGGAGACACTGCATCTAATCTGTATTACTGGCAGGCGGCT